CCCCATAACTGTGGATGCCTGAAAGAAGGAAGGGGGGGTCATAGACTCTTCTCCCATCCTATGTGCCTGGTTTGTTCCAAACTCGCAGACTTCCAGACGAAGTGCTCCTGAGACTCCTGGCTAGGCCATCCTGGTGGAACATGCTGGCTGAAACCCAGCTCCTAGGCTGCACATGGGGATATGGTGGGGCAGGCTGGACAGCCTTCAAGCACTCGGGATGCTACCGCCTCTTCCAGTAGCACCACCATCATGCTGGTTAGTCTCTGCCACTGTGAAGGGTACATGCCTTATTTTCCATGGGATTTCCCAGCCAGTGGCACTGGTTATATTCTCCCCCCCAAGACACATAAGACTATATCTATGCTTTTAACCAAAGCAGGTCCTTAACTGCTATGATCCAGGACCGTTCTCTTTTTAGTCTCCTTTATTTTCATGCACAGCATGAGGCAAAGGATTATTTTTAGTCTGGCTGTCCTGTGAGGTGGGAGGGAAGAAATCAGCCCAGCATCTTCAGTTTCCTTCAGCCTCACGCTCCCCAAGAGCTCTGCCTACAGCTGTTTGCCCATGCCCACCCTTCCCCAGCACGATAAACTGAAAGCAAGGAAAAGCAGCACCAGCCCACAGTTCCAGGACACAAGGAGCTCTGCAACAGGCCCTCAATTTCAGCTGGATGCTCAGCTTTCCCAGGCTGGGGCAGAGCAAAGCACAGTCCCCAAAAGCACCCTGCCTGCCTTGGACGGCACCGGGGCTGTCAGGCTCCCTCCCCCTGGCCAAGCACAGCTGTGGGCAGCTGCTGCCAGAGATGGAGGGAGGACGGAGCTGGGGCCTTGCCGGGCATGGCTTGGCAGCTGCTCTGGAGGGGAGCCAGCCCCCCGGCTGAAATGGAGGATGAAGCTGGCCTGCTGACTGTGTGGCACAGTGCTGCACAATGGCTGCCCACGCAGAGCTGGCTCAGCCACACCTGGGCCATGCAGGGGCCCTGGGACACCATCCTGGTCACCCGGTGGGCAGTGTGTGGGTGGCACTTGACCATGGAGCAAGCGCTTGGGAGCGGGATGGAGGCCGCGCAGTTAATGGTCACCCCCGCACACCGATGCTCCTGGTGCTGACACCAACGGCACAGGGCCCTGGGCACAAGCTACCTGAACTCCTGCTTTTTGGTGGAGGGAGCAGGCATCC